AAGCCTGCTTCGAGCCTAGCATCAGCATATTATGCACTTACAAGAATAGATGTTTGCAAAGCACTTTGATCATACCACTTAATCCTCACAGAGGGTATCATTAGCATGCAGAATGCCAATTTACAAACTCACTCGGGAAACAGGGACAAGAGTACTTCACTGGGCCTACAAACTTTCTACGGGGATGTTCATGATTTGGTTCCTTTTGCACCACATGTTGGAACGCAATGAAGGACTAACTATATCGGAACCAAGCCCCTGCTATGCTCTTACAGGACAGTTGCAATTTACAGAGTTTTTGGTGTGCCACTCTAATAGAAAGATGAACACGTGACTTGCTAACGAATGCCTGTTCAATTACTTCCATGGGGAGATGGATTTGAGCGCTTGCTCTTATTATGTCTACACTCCATCCCATTCTGGTATACACTCAAGTGGCTTGCCCCTGCCCCCACCATGCTTCTATTTGCAGCACACTAGCTCAATTAGATCTAGCATAGGATGCCTACAAGTCAGAATTTCCACTTTCTAGCTCTAGTGCAGACATTACCCATGATTAATTAAAGTGCCAGAGGATAATTAAGAGGGGGCTTGACAGAAGTGGAACACACCAGCAGTCCCTCTCCACCCATGAGCCTGAGTCAGCAGACAAGAAAGGCTGACCTTCCATGCCCCCCGCAACAAGGTGTGTTTGGAGAGCCACAAAAATTCCTCCAGTAATAAACAGAACCTGTCACCAGGACGTGCCTAAATGAAGCCAATGCCCATTTTTAAATTTTAGATTGTTTTAAATACCATCAAGGAATTATTTGTTCAAATGCAGCAATTACAGAAAAAAGCAGCATATATTAGAGAAGCTGACATTACAACAGGATTCCCAAAGCAGGATCCCATTGTACCATGCAGATGAACCAGGGTCTGCCTGGTTTGCTCTGAATTGAGTCAATACAGATGCTGGTTATAATTGTTAAGCAGCTGAATTATGGACAATTCATGGAAGTAACTTCTCCATATGTGCATTAGTACAAATGCAATAGTGAGACTAATTTTTTTTTGTTGTAGGTTTATACGGAGACAGGCAAGTTAAAGAATCACATGGTCTAAATCAGCAGACTATGCTTCCACGTTTAATAGACTTTAAAAATAAGTTCATACAAAAGGAGTCATTAGGATTTTAATCAAACCTAACTAAGCCTCTGTGCTCAAGAACAGGGGGTTCATCAGTTTAAGATGCAGAATACAAGCCACATCAGCTTACCACAGTAACTTCTCTGTGGTGGTGGGTGCTTAGCATTTTGAAAGTCAAGGCTATATTTATAGGGTCCCTCCACCTCTGTGGGTCATGTTTGGATAGTTCATAGTACAACCTGAGCAGTAATGTGGTGGTGGTGGTGGTAGGGGAAATGGGGGGAGGGAGAAGGACATGTATTTTGCAGACCAGCTAGATTCAAGTCTATTAAAACGCAAATAAAAATAGATTGTTAAACTACACTCACTAATAAAACCCCCCCACAAATACGTAACAGTCTTCTCTGTCAAGGAACTACTTGAGACTCTTTGCCTGAAGCATTTGAGTGGTCACATCCAAACCCTGGTCTGTAAGATCGTTCTCCATCTGTACCTTTAGACTGTAGGTCCTCCGAGAAAGGGAGCTGGTATGTCTGGTGCCAATCTTCCACTGCATAAACTATTCCCCTCTTGTTAAACATTGTGCTCCAAAGTCTGCCCTGCTGCAGTGGAATAGCATGGGTGTAAGTTAAGTCAGAATTTAATTCTCTTTGATTTATAAAGTTATTTCGCCCTCTGCTCCTGCAGTGCACTTGACCTTGATTTAAGGCTTTAACCACAGGGCAGATTAGAGGGACACCAACTTGAAAGTCACAATTTTCTGTCTATTTTACAGTCACTATTATCTACGTCTAACACTCAACTTCTATAACAGAGGAGTTAATGGAAAATGCCCCCTCTCTCTCCCCCCACCTTGTTCAGTCTGGTTTTGAAGTCAATTTTAAAAGCTTCAAAGTTTTGAATGAAAAGCAACTCTAGTAACTAGGAAAGCAAAAGCACCTGTTTTACTTTTAAAAAAACCAACCCTACACATTTCAAAGGGTTTTGAACATCCTAATTTTAAAAGTTAGGTACTTTTAAAAAAAATTCAGGGCAATAGCACCTAACCGTAACAAAAAGCCAAAGAGAAAACAAATGTTATGTTCCTTCACCTCATTTATCACTACAGATACATGTTGTGAGAAGTATGATTACTGTCAAAACACACCTTAAGTACAGGCATCTACTCAGCTGCAAAACTCTTATATAGGCAATTCAGTTATGTATGATCTCAAAGCAGGACATATCCTATGATTCTGTAGGATGGTACTATGGATTGGGAGTAGATATCCTACCCTGCATACTGCAAGATTGTTACCAATGGTGGCAACGGAATAGATTTCCATGTCACTGAAGAAATGCTCAACTGTGCACTGAATTGAGACACTGCTTTTTCAAATGGCATTATTGATACTAACTCCAGGTTACTACACTAATTGGACAGCAAAGGTAGTATTATAGCTCCTAAGGGTACCACCAGCCAAATGTATGTGTGTCAGGTATAGGTTTCCATTATAAGACTTCCTTCCATCAGAAGGATGTTGGAATAGGAAGACGGGTGATGCATACATTTTCACACCAAACGAAGTTATTTGCCCAAGACAGAAGCCAAGTTAGCACCTCTTCCTCTGTACCAAGTGTCTGCATTTGAAATGCTGCATGGCACAGCTGCAGTGCTTGGCTGTAGATATTACAGTCCTACCACAGGGAGGTGCTCGTAGCAGGCTGTAAATTCCCCTTCCCCAAGAACTAGGAGTTACCTCAACAGAATTCCATGAGCCTTGCCTAGTCTAAACTAGGGGTCAGATTAAACTAACCACAATGGGGGAGGGGAGGGGAGAAGAGGAGAGACTTCCACACCTTTGAGCAAACAAATTAGTATAGAGCAGGGTATTAGACAAGTGATCTACTGGGGGAAGAGGGGGGAGAGAAAAAAAAAAGAGTGGTAAATGCTTATGAGACACCTGACCACTTCTTGTGTTTTATAAAGTATGAGAATATTTCAGTTAACAGCATTTTACTGGTAATTCTGAAGGATAATTTCCATTCACTGTTCAAATTGTAGATCTGCAATTTGGTTTGCTTTAGCAATGCAAACAGGCTGCAGCTGAGTATATTCTTGTAAACTGACCACCTATGCTGATTTTATAAGTTCCACCACAACTAGTGCAAAGATATTCTCCACTTACAACTGTGAAGTACACATTGACTCTGGTCTTTCGGGGAAGGAGAAAGGAAGGAATACAGATAACAGGTAATGAGGGTAAGCTTGTTTTATTCTTCTGAAAAAAAGTCATGCATTTGTAGTGCTCAGGGAAGAGAATGTTAGCACCACTTAAATTAAGTAACTGCTTTTCTTTTATAAAGGACATCAAAATAGCTCCACTATAGTATCATCAGTGGACACAAGGTCTCTAGGTATTCAGAGGGGTACTTAAACAACCTCAACCCACCTCTCCGGCTCCAAATCACATTTTTAACCTATCCATTTAAAGACAGACAAGCGTATTAGTTGCCTACGCCACCACTTCTAGGTCAGCAGAGAAATTAGGCGATTGTCTGGTATTTCTCTTGCCAACAATCAGAAATCTAGAAAAAACCACAAGTCTGAAACAGTTTAACACAGGACAAAAAAGGCACATTTTAATATGTACAGCAATGCATTTGGGCTATAAGTGTACCCAACACAACTGAAAAAAAAGTCCAGTTTAACGAACGCTTTTATACTTGTTCAATGGAGTCAGCCTCATTGCTAGCCACCTACCTTTCCGCATCTTTGAACGCTGCTATATACATACAGTTAGCCATGAATGTTCATTTAGGCTCCCCTGTTCAAGTAATAAAGTTCAAACTTGCATAGCATCTTATGCCACTCAGCCATAAACAGGTAAGATTGCATATTAGCTGGAGTAGCCATCTCTTTCAATTCAGCCAGTATTAGCTAGCCACCATTTTTATCTTTGAGACAGAATGTTTAAAGTTATCCCCCCTCAGGGATGCCACAAACTTCAAAAGTGAACTTTTTGCTGTCAAGGTACTTTTCAGCCAGAAATTTAGAATGGTGTCAAGAACAGTTTTAAAAATGTAATACTGTTTATTTTGCTTCAAAAAACATTTCAGCATTCTAAACATACAAAAAACCAACAGAACGTTGCAAATGTGTTTAAGTACAGAGTGTTTTTCCAACTTCAATTGCCGCACTTGCTCTTCACTTCGTTGACAATGAAGAGAGGTCTACAGTTTCAGTTTAAAAAAAACCTACCGCACTTAACTAAAAAAATCCATATACTTCTCATGCCAGCTGAACCCCCTTCCACAACTAAGAATGGCAGCAGAATGCTAATCTCACTATATACAGAAAGACAACTTTAAGCTAAATGGACGCCCACTGTAGTGTAAATAGATCTACCCTCACAGTGCATGCTTTGGGCCATGGCACCTATAGAAGGTACAGCCTTCCAAAGTAATCATCCCTCCCTAAGGCATCACAACTCTAAGCATGTACCACAAGAATTTGTCTAGTTTTTACAAACTATAGATATGTACAGTTTATAACCCAGGATTTTCTAGCCAATAACCATATAGTAACACCACCTTACAAATTAAAAAATGCTTGAAACATTTTTAAATGCTTTGTTACACCAACAGCAAAGTGCACAGAGTGAGGAGAACACTAGAGCGCCTTTTCATTTTAAAAATGTTTGGAAATATGTACAACTTTGATACAGTTTCAGGGTGCTCACTACACCCATGGCCACTTCATGTAAACCAGTTACAATTTCTAGAGCACTTTTAGAAACTACAATGCGATCAGAATCCGAATTTTGTAATTAAGCCTAATGAGGGCAACAGCACCATCTCAAGTCAGAGGTGCTTTGTTTATGGTGTTTCCCCTACTCTATGGTATTCACATCAGACAAATATTGTACAGTTTTATTCATCATCCTCATCTTCTTCATCCTCCTCTTCATCCTCCTCATCCTCTTCATCTTCTTCCTCTACCTTTTTCCGGGCAGCTTTGGCTGCTGCACCCTTTGCACCATCAAACTTTCCTTTAGACTTGTAGTCTGCAACATCCTGCAAAGTCAAGAGGATGTCTTAATTTGCTCTAAGCAATAAATGCATAGATCACTTGTACAGCAGTGGCAGGAATTTTAGAGAAGCCAGCTTTCAGCAGCCTTCTCCCAGAGGGAAAGGCTGCTGGAGCGACAGCCTACGGGCTTGTGGGTACCAAAGTATACCTGAGTATTCTAAACATTAGTTTGGCATCCTGAGTTCATGATTTAGGGTTTTTAAAGGCACATTCACTTTCAGAATGTAACAGATGTTTATGTAATTTGACTGTGCTAAAGTGATTCCTTCAGCAAAGTCAGCAGCCAAAGCTTCACTTCAGAAGGGGCTCCGAGGAGAGGGAACAAAACAAATCAAAATCTAGCAGCCAAATATCACAGGAGCGACACCCCCACATTTACCAATAAAGAGTTCAGCCATTACATGGAAGTGTATTATACAGTATAGATCCAGTATACTAGGTCTTGCTGATAACCAGTCCTTACATGTCACAGAAGCCTAAACAAAGACAGCCCCTATGTAATATGGATCTCTTCATTAAAATTAAGTGTTTATGCACACATGTTCTCATGTTACTAAGACAGGGTACAACCTAGCCTTACCTTTTCATATTTCTCCTTCAGTTTAGCTGCCTTATTATTGTAAGGCTGCTTTTCACCATCACTTAAGTTGTTCCACATTTCACCAAGTTTCTTTGCTACATCCCCAATAGATATGCCAGGATTTGTGGATTTGATCTTGGGACGGAATTCTGAACAGAACAGGAAGAAGCCAGACCTTGGAGAAAAGTTTCATATTAAAATAAGCATCTCAGAATCTGAAACTGAAGATCTGAACTGGGCAAGGCCTCCAGTTCTTTCAATCAACCCACCCAAATGATTCACAAGACTGAGGACTGTCAAAAGACAGACAGTAGAGGGAAGAGTGGTTTAAAAAAATAATTTTAAAAAGCCACACAGGATATTTGGGTTTATTTATAAACCAAGCTTGCAAGACATTAAACACCTGTTCACTATTTTAAAACTTTGCACATTTTTCCATTTGCATTGTTTGGGGCATCTAAAAATCACTGTCATTTCCTGCCTCATTACTTTAGAAAGTTAGTTTATAGAAAGTAAAAGTTTTGCATCTGTCCAGCTATTGGAGTCACATTTAGAGCTCCTTAACTTGAGAATTCAACTGTCAGAGAGTTTATAAACAGGTACTAATAAAGCTGTTCCTTGTTATCAAGATTTGATCTGATCCGGTGTTCAATTTGCATCTTCGAGAGAAAGACACATTGCAACAGCTAACTATGAACAGAACCATTCATGTGTACAGCCTTGCAAAGAAAGTTACTTACGGTGGTCGTTTTGGGGCATTAGGGTCCTTCTTCTTCTTGCCACCCTTAGCTGGTCCATAATCCTTCATTTCCCTATCATATCGTACCTTGTCGGCTTTTGCCATTTCATCAAATTTGGACTTCTCTTTGCCTGACATGGTCTGAAATAAAGAGACACAGACGAACACTCAGCGAGTTCCCCTTTTCTGTTGGAGTTATGTGCTAATGGTGTCTTCACTGGACTAAGGCCATCTTGGAGGACAAGGATTCACAAACTCATTATCACAAGGGCCACCCTCAGCAAGGGCCGATAACTGAATTTGCTCAACCTCCTCCTTCTAGAGTTAAGCTATTAAAATAGCAGGTGGCCACCTCTTACTTGAGGTGCATGGGGAAAAGAAAGGAAGTGTTTGGTGGTGTTTTCTCCACCCAAGTTTCCAATGCAATCTGGAAAGGGAGTATACATTTTCCTCACCCAAGGGGAAAAAGAAAAACCAAACTAAACAAAATTAAGGAAGGGGTATTGGTTGAAATGAGTCACTCCCTCATTTAAACAAGGGTCGCAAGAAGTTACAAATTAAGTTACCTTCCACCTTTCTGAGCACTTCTTGGAAAACTCTGCAAAGTTGACTGGAACTTCTGGGTTTTTCTTCTTATGTTCTTCACGGCACGTCTGCACGAAGAAGGCATAAGCAGACATCTTGCCCTTAGGCTTCTTCGGGTCACCTTTAGCCATCTTGACTCTGCAGGGAGGAGAAAAGATAAGTCACTGATTTAAACTATTAGATTAAGTAAACCCTCAGGTTGAGTTTGGGCAGAATTAAGTGGTTCTACTCCAAGAGCTGAGTCTTCCAAATACAAGTAGTATGGCCCCATAGCGAGATAAAAATGTATAATCATTTCTTAATGTGTAATTGTATTTTATAAATATAAATTACAAAATTTTATTTGAGTTTGGCTGCTGCATTAGAGCTTGAACAGAGTGCATAACACCAGTCTGAGTTATTCCTTCAGGACAGCTAGAGTTCACATGTAAGTGCCTGTCACCCAAGAGAAAAGCTTCCACTGATTCTCCCCACCTTGAAAAAAAATGCAACACTGTTAAAAAAGGTGTACAAATAATGGCCAGTTTTAAACCATATTAACTGCCAGCCTCTGCATGACAAGAAGCATTTGCTTTTGCTCCATCAAGTGACATGATTCAGAGTGGACAGCACAAGGGTGTGATTAGCTAGTTACCAACAGCAAGACACTAACTTTTGGATGGTGGTTTTAAAATATATATTTTTTATTTTTCCAGCCTCCTGTAGTCGTATTTTCTATTCGAATCCTTTTAAGAGAGTTTGAAACAAAAATTATTGGACAAAGATAAATATTTAATTATGCACCCTAATCCAACATGTGCAGTAAAAGTGGGTTTCCAGAATCATTCCCACACCCCCATTCTGTAAATGGCTACAGATGTTTTCATCCCCTCACCCTGCCACACAAATATCTTAAAAAAAAATTTGGGGGGGGGGGGGGGAGAGAATTCCTGTTTCGGTCACATATTAAAAGGCAGCAAATCAGGTTTGCAAAGTTTCAGATTCAAGGGGCAGGATTTTGTATGTTTTTACAGCCCCCCTTTTGCTTCCCGCCATCTTCCACCACCCCCCCTTCCCAAGGTCACAGCAAAAATAGAGACAGGACCCTCTTTCTGCATATTGCCCATGGCCGGGGGCATTTGCTGCTCCAAGTGGGGCCAGTGCAGCCAGGATGTGCCCAGCTCAGCAGCGCTCCTTTGCCTGAGACTCCAGTAGAAGGAGGGGGGGGAAAAAAACGACAGGTCACCAAGACACCAATAATTCATCTTCCATTTTGTGAAATGCTTCTTCATGAAAGAAAGTGCCCCTGAAATGAGCCCCTTTGCTAGCCTGGGGGGTGGTCCCGGGCGGGGGGCACAGCCTGGCAGGGCTGGGGCAGAGTGGGGCTCTCGCCCGTGCCATAGGAGTATCTATAGCCTTGGTGCTAGGCAGGGATATAGAGAAGTGGTTGCTGTTCTCCTCGCCCATAGCCGGCTCCATTCGCTAAAATGGCTTCTCTAAGGCAGTGAGGCTGCTATGCCTAACAAAGCCGCACACCCCCTTCTGCTCAACTGACGCCTCCCCGCGGGGGCTCCCGGGCCCCCAGCCCCCCCGAACCCACCCCCTCCTCTAAGGCAGTGAGGCTGCTATGCCTAACAAAGCCGCACACCCCCTTCTGCTCAACTGACGCCTCCCCGCGGGGGCTCCCGGGCCCCCAGCCCCCCCG